CCATGGGCGCCCCCCGCCCGCCGAGCCCGCCCGCCCCGCGCGCCCGCTGACTCGCCGTCGCCCTCTGCAGAAGGCACTTCTTTAATTGCTCCCTCCCTCCCTTCGTTTTATTTTATTTTTTTTTCCCTCCCCTCCTTCTTTTCGGTTTGTTTGCTCGCCTCGCCCGCCCCTCTCGCTGCCTGGCGGAGCGCAGCAGCCGCCGCCGGTGCGCGCCCCACGCCGCCCGTACTCTTTGTTCCGCGTTGTTGCTACTCGCCTGTCCCGGGCACTGAAAGAAAGAAAGAAAGAGAAAAAAAAACAAAAACAAAACAAACCCACAAACAAAGTCTCAAGGCTGGAGGAGCAACTTGGGAGCGGCGGATCCCAGCGCCGGGCAAGCGAGGATCTTTTGTTTCTGCGCGCCCCGCTCCTGCGCTGGATGGTCCTGGGAAGTGTCAAAGCCCCTCGCGGAGCGGCCGGGCCGAGGGAGAGGAGCCGGAGCCGGAGCCGAGCCCTGGATGCGGCAGGACCCTCTGCGGGGAGGAGAGCTCGCCGCTGAAGTGCCGGAGGATTAAGAAACCTTGCTTATATTAAGCTTCTGTGGAATTACAGTTGGGGGCTTTCCCTTTCTTTTTTTTTTTTTTTAATTGTTATTATTTTTTTATTTCTTCCCTCCTGTTTCTCCTGGCATGAGACTGCCTGCAGGCGCCACCTGAGGACAATGATCGCGGAGTTCGCTCACTTTTGCCTCTTCGGATTAGTATGTCTCACCTCAGGTAACGGGCAACGCTCCCGACGGCCGAGCGGGCGGGCAGGGGCTGCCCGCTCCCCTCGCCCCCTCGGGCACCAGCTCCGGCGGGTGCCCGGGCGGGCCTCGCTGCTCGCCGGGGGCCGGGGCGCGGCCCCCTCGCCGGTGTGTGCGCGTTGAGGAGGGCACACGGGCACGGCGGCACCCGCGGCGCAGCGCACGGCGGCCCGTGCCCACCGCAAGCGGGGAGAGGGCGGCGGGGAGGGCAGGTGGGCGCCGCCTCGCTCGCTCGCTCGCCGCGCGAGCCGTTAACGGCGCGCGCCGCCGGGGCCAACGGCCGCCGGGCGCCCCCGCGGCCGTTACGCGGGGCGCCGGGGGCTCCCGGGCCGTTAGGGGCTCTGCCCCGTCGAGGCTGGCGCGGCCGCGCAGGCGGCTCCCGCGTCCCCCGCGCGGCTCGAGCTGATCCGCGCGCGCGGCGTGGGGTGTCGGCGTGATGGATGGGGGGAGGCGAGATCCTCCGGGAGACAGCGGGGATTAATGGTCATTAGTCACTGCTTGAGCGGGGTTTATGTGTGTTCGGGCATCTTATCGTGCCTGTAGATTAAAGATAGGCGCGTCCTGATAGGGTATTGTTGATAGCAGATACATTTTTTTTTTTTTTTCTGTTCGCCTGCGAATTCTCCCAGTTTAAGCACCCCATCAAAGGGTGGTGTGGAGGAATGCGATAAAGTAGTGGGCGCAGGGGCTCCAACGTGGGCTCGCCTTCCCTGGGCTTCGCGCGGTGCCCGGTGCGCACCCTGCCCGCCCGGGTGCGCTGCGCGTGGTTTTCGTTTGGACTGGAGCCACGGGGACGGTACTTGATGTTTTGGTTTTCCTTTCCTTCTGCATAAGCTTCCTATTATTCTTAGGAGCCCAGACTCCTCTGTCTGCAGTATTCCCTTCCATGCCCAGCACCTCCTTTTATCATGTGGTAAGGGTGCGCCGAAAGTGTACATTCAGTCCCAGGAATCCAGTACAACTTTGTCTTGTAGTTAAGCTTGGGCACTGACTTCTACCCTAATTGATTTTTATAAGATGTCTAAGGACCCCGATGAGTAATTAAAGTTATGGTAGTAGGAGACACCTGGTCAGTGAATGAATGAATGGAGTTTTTGAAAGACTAAGCTAAGTACATTGCCTGAAGCTTTAAGTCTTAATTATGTCACTGAGTGCAATAACTTATGTCTATTTCTAGATTATATCATAAATTTAACTATTACATTTTTGCTGTTAGGTTTTAGGTTTACTTCTGCGGCTTCAATTGTGGAAGGACTTGAATGCTCTTTTTCTAAAGTAGTAACTCTAACCCCGTTCACTCTTAACCTCTTAACAATGCCCGTCACACTATCCCTAGGTTGCTTTCCTCCATATTCTCTTCTTTATCTGGTGGAAGAAACAATTGGAATGGGGGTGGGAAAAGCTTTTCAACAATTTGCTCATTGTGAGTCTTCTTTGCCAGTCTTCCTGACCATAGAAGAGCTGACTTCATAAACAGGGTGCTCCATTATCCAGGTCTATAGTGGCAGATCTTTAGGCCCAAGTTAAGCAGCACTTTTTGCATCTTTTGTCTCTTTTCTTAAATGAGCTTCTTCCATCTTGTGCTGTTCATGGGACCAACAGCATAAGATGGACTTTTTATTTCTCTCCAACGTGAAGACCTTCTCTCCAAGGATTTTGGCTCCAGCTGAGATGTTGAGTGAAAGAAGTCTTTTTATTTTTTAATGGAAGTTGTAAATTTTGTAAGCAAATGTTTTGTAAGCAAAGTTACTATTAGAGGAGCAACCACCGGAGATGAATCTCATTCCATCTCCTTTACCAGAGAGGTGTTTTTGCCTTTCAGTTAGAACAGGGTCAAACATTGAAATAATTTTCCACTGTCAGCTGGTCTGCTTGCTGTTGCTTGATCCCTTCGCCTCTTATTCACTAAAGGTTTTGACTTCCCGTGCTTATGCCAGATATTGAATCAACAGTTTGTGTGGCCACACTCTAATTGAGTCCTTTATTGAGAGATGGGAATGAATTAAGAGATGGGAAGGAGGAAAAATCTTAATAATAATCAAAAGGTAAATTGGTTAGTGTTTGTGAAAACAGCAATTGGTAAACCACTTAGAATATAAAACCCGTAATTTTTACCCTGATATTGCCTCTGTGCTATTCTTTGAAGTACCTTCTTTCATCTAAGCCTGTGGTTAATAGATGTTGAATATATTTAAATTTTGAATCATTTGGTGTGTTGGAATATAACAGCTTCCTCCCTTGTCATTTCAGTGCTTCTTTGCATAAAGAGGAAAAATGGCTTTAAGGAGCGCCTCTTCTCCAGGATCCCTGTTTCCTTGAGTGTTTACCTGCACTCTGATCTTTCTCCTCCATTTTGAGGCTGTTTATAATCTGTAGAGGTCTCATGTCCCTCAAGAAAGAACAGCAGAATCAAAATGATTTGGTCAGAAAATAAAAATTTTCAGCTATGTGGGAAGTAGAGCGTTTTTGCTGGGAATGGAGGCTTCAAAGTATTGGGGATTTTGATCTGTTTGTGTGCTTTTTTACTGTATGTCCAATCCTCTAGCAGTCTCCAAGGGCAGGAATGTCAGTGGTGGATTTTCTGATTGCACATCAGAATCTGATCCCACACCAGAAATCTTTATGTTTCTACCATGTGTTTAACTGTATAGTTTTTTAGTTGATTCCCTCCTAGTCAACATGTTTTCTACTGTTTCCAGTTCACGATATCACACCCTAGTTACTGTCCTTCAAATCTTCAAATTGGACTGATAAATCTGAGAAAGTTGGAATATTATGTTGTATGAAACAGGCGACTCTGAATGACCGGATCGGTGCAGTCGTGGCTTCTGTTGATAGTTCTAGCCAGCGGAGGGCAAAATTGGCTCTCATATTCCATTACATGGAAGTCATCTCCCAAGGATTAATATGATACAACGTGTCCACGGAAAGTCCCCAGAGTCCATTACAGTTGGTTAACCTGCCTATTGCATTAAATAAGTCAGCAATTTCTTCTATTTTTTGTTGTTTTTGCTTCATCAGTTTGTGCGTATAGGAGGATGTTTCACCTGCACGATAAGGAAGAGACCCATCGGCTTCATGAACTTCTGTAACAGCACTTGAGGAATTGTTCCTGTTCCATTTCCATATTCTCTACCTAATAATAATAAGAAACGATTTTTAAAATATTGCACAATATTACACAAATTTGATGTATTATGAATGCCCGAGTGTGTCTTTGTAGAGTATGCAAATCATTTAAGAAAATAAGAAAAGCGCCAACCATGTATGCATTGGGTCCTAAGTCATTTTCCTGTGAAAGCATTTAAGAAAGATAGTTAGCTGTTTGCCATTGAAGAAACTGGCCATGTTTGCATGGAAGCAACCATGTGCTATGAAATTCCTTATTAGTGATGGAATATTCTCCAAATATCCAGGTGTTTAACTAATTAAAAATCACTTATCCATGAGAGTACTGGTGGTATCTGTGGAGATTAGTCCTCCCACCCTGCTTTGGCTATGTTTCAATTAGACCAAAGACACGCTTTTTTTTTTTTCCTTTCCTTTTTTTTTTTTTTTTTTTTTTTTTTAATATAGCCCCAAAATGAATTTGGACACCTATTTAAAGGAGTAAGAGAATGTTCAGACTGATTTTCTTTTGCTTGCTGAAGATTTCCTTCCTTCTGTGATGTGTGGTTCCTTACTGTTATCCCCAAAGTCACCCTGTGTTTTCATTAGCAGCTCTGTCAGTTGTATCTCGCTGAAGGGATCATCTCCAAAGTTCAGGGTTCTGAATTTCAGAGGTTAACTGGTACCATCCATAAAATTTGATTAGAAAACATAAATTCATGTGAAGGATGTCCTTAAAACTACTGCCCAAAGCCTAAAGGTTCTGATTCAATCTACAAATGAAGAGGAAACATTAAGAATATTGGCAGAAACTAGGGAGAACTAGCTAACAGTGTTATTTAATGTCAAATATTCATGTGTAGTATCCATTCCAAGTGCGGTTTTAAAATAAAACGCTTCAGAAGTGATTGCCAAAGACTTTGATAGGACATTAAAAACAATCCCCTTTTTCATAGTTCTATACTCTAGCAGAGAAAACATAATTCTTTTTAGGTGCTCTGCACAGGGTAATTTGAAGCTGAATTTAAGAACCCATTCCCTGTCCCAAACCCAGCATTGTTTTTGGTTTGGCACCTTACTTGCCTGAATAACTGAAATAGCTTTTGTTTCGCAATCCGAAGCAAGCATAATATTGGGTTTCATTAGCGGTGAGTTTTCTCTAATTCATGTAAAAATATGCTGAAGCTAGCAAGTCCAATCACTTGTTCAGCTTCTGCAATTTATTATTTTTGTCATCATTAAATATGTTCTGTGAATAACAGTCACCTGGCTCATTATTGCAGTGGCTATTTTAGATTTTGATTTTTTTCAAACTATTTCTCTTTCTCTCTTCCACTCACTGTGGAAGTGAGTATTGTCAGTGTTCATTCATGTAAGTTACCATTGATGAGATTTTGTGTGTGTATGTGTGTACTTGAATGGCCAGGAATGAGGCATTTCTCTGTTAATATTTTAAGGTTATTTTGGGGTCAGGAAGATAGTAGGAACTTCGCTCTTTCCAAGCTTACTAAGGGGTACTTAAATTTTTTTATATGCTGAGGTTCTGACATGTTTTATTTGTGTATTCTGCTACATAGCCTCGTTTGACGATGATAACCTTCCTCAACTTTTCACCTGAGTACCTCTTCATAAAGCTGTCAAGTAAACAGTGAAATAACTGAAGTTGTGACCAAGGTGTGTTTTGAGTCCAATAAACTGTGTAAACAGGGGAAATCAGAGTGTTTTCCTCTTAGCCACCAGAGTCTTGACCTGGTGAGAGCTGAGCTTCTGCAGGATCTTGAAAGGTGAAGAGGTTCTGTTAAGAGGCAGGTCATTTACCAGCTCATACCTTCCGCTCCAGCTCCTCAGCATTACGGACATAGT